AAATAAGAAATTAGGTTTATTAAAGTTGAATATAGGAAGTATTAAAGAGAGAGAAATTTTTACTAATAAAAATTTAGGTGAGTTGATATTCAATAATTTAAAAATCTTAATTTAAAGTCAAGTTAAGAGATTTAAATTTTTGAGATGTACTCTTGATGTATAAAAAAAGTAGAAATTCTTAATACTTAGGAATTTTTATATAATTGTAATAATTAAGAGTCAAAATAGAAAAATAAACCTTAACTATAGTAATAAATTAATTTTTTAATAGTTATAAATAGATAAAATAAGAGAATTAAATCAAAATATACTTTTTAATAATTAATAAATTTATTAAAATATTTTCAATAAAAGTCTGCTTACGGTATTTTGTTGAGTGTATTTCAATATTTTTAATCCCCGAATTCAAGGGAAAAAATAAGCTCTCATCAGTATATATTTTTTCTTTTCTTACTGCATAATCAAAATATGAAAAAGTTTGCATTTGGTTATTCGGGTCAAGTAACCTTTGAGTTTTGAGTTATTTTGAAGGTGTAGTTCCCCTATTTAGTGAGTTTAAAGATCGAATCCCATCTTATCATTTTGTCCAAAAAAAAAAAAAAAGAAAAAAGAAAAAGTTCATAATTTAGTAAGTGTACGGAAAAATATGGCTCTCATTTTATATTGTCTCGTTTCTTAGCCAAAATCCAAAAAATAAAAAAATAAAAAATAAAAAAAAAATAAAATTGTATTTAATCTTTTTGTCGCTCTGCTTTGTGTTCTCCTATATAGAGCAATAAAGGAAGAGCGCAAGAAACTCCGGAGATCACCCTCTCTACCTTCCTCTACATTTCCACTGCAAAACCTCCGACCTTCTCCGATTTGCAGCTCCGCTTTCGTCGACCTTCCGATTCACTCTCTCCCGCGGTGATCCGATCGCTTTTAGTCAAACCACCGCGTTTCCTTTGTTGACTTTTCTCATTTCTCTTCACTCCGCCACCGGATGAGCTGCTCAGTTTAGGGTTAGTGTTTCGCTGATTCTTCTCTCTCTGCTAATCTAATCGGATGAGATTTCTTCTTCGCTAATTTCCGAGTCTTCCTCCACGGAGTTTCGCTTTCGAAGGTACAGATACCGACTCCATTTAATTCATGTCTACGCGTTTCGGCGCATAAACGTTCTTTAACTTTTCTTCGTTTACACGGAAATGCTTTCGGTTTTCCCCTTTAACCCCATTATTTATTCGGGAAATACGTTAGGGAGGTTGTATGTTTCCTTTTTTTCTCCCCAGTATTGATTGAGATGATGAATTATGGTTAGGGTTAGAGCATCATCGACGCAAATGGAAGCGTCCGGTGCAAATTCCGACGCTTATAGAGGTTCTTCCGGTGCTTCTGGGAATTCACGAAGGTATGGGATGCTATCGGCTTCGAATATCATTCAGAGGCCCATTTCGGCCTTGTTGGAGTATTCGGGTCTTCTGCGTGCAGCCAGCTCGGCTCATCAAGAATCTGAAGCGTTGATTGGCTCTGGAATTCGCAGTCAGAGTATTGATAATTCTGCCGCCACAGCTAATAGTGGAGAGGTTGCTATTAGAATAATTGGGGCGGCGGATCAGGAGAGTGATAGAGAGGCTTCTGGGTTGGTGGTTGGGCAGGTGAGAGAAGCCAGTGCACAGGGTGAGGTGTCACTTGGGTTAGCATCATCAGACAGTCAGGGTGATTTAAGGAGTGATCGAATGCCAGCATCAGGGGAAGGAGTTTCACAGTCGGCAAGTGTAGGTGCTGCTGCTGATGCTGAATCCGGGGATGCAGGTGGAGCTAATAGCAGGGATTCATCGTATCAGAGATATGACATTCAGCAGGCTGCTAGATGGATTGAACAAATTCTTCCTTTTTCTTTGCTTCTCTTGGTCGTATTCATTCGCCAGCATTTGCAAGGTGATTCTTATTATGCCTAGAGCTGTGTTTAATTTGTTTCTGTGTTGCTGGAATTGTGTCTTGGTTAGATTAAATAGCATCAGAATGGGTGTTATTGAAATGTAACTTTTTCTGGCGTGCTGCATAGATGAAGTTCAAAACAATAGGCAGACACATAATGAAGTGCTAGGAGGATTTTTAAGTTAGTGGTTTTCTATATTTTTTGAAAACTTCCTGTAGTATTGAAAAGACAAAATGATAGCTGAAGACAATAAACTGGAATGAATTTGTCATAAGGCAGTGCTTGGTAAACATGCTATTAGTTCTTGTCAGATCAGACTATTAGGGGTCATAGTTTCTTGTTTGGATGTAGTGAATAACACTTATTTCATGTATATGCTATTTTCATTAGTAGACTCCAAATTGTCTTAGTTTTCTTTGGTAACAAAATCTGCGCCTTCTTCTGGTTTGCTACGTTGTTGTAATTGAGGAAAAAATTATTTGAAAGATTGAGAAGATACTTGATAAGAGTTGTTTTTTTCATAGTTGTTATGTGTCATGTTCTCAATAATTAGTTTCTTTAACTTTTTGAGATCTGTTTCTTATAAGAAAGGCAAAGTGTAAGTTAGAGAGACAATGCAGAAAGTGAGAGTTGGTGTTTTGCTTTTTCTGTAGGAATTTATTTTTCTTGCATAATTTGTATGAAAGATTAAAGAACATTTGTTGAAAAATGCTCTTATGCAAGAAGAATTGTAACTCAATTTCATGCTTGGATGATAATGAGTGATAGAATGCATTCTATGTGTAGTTGTGTGGTATGTGTATTAGAGATAAAAAATCATTTTGTTGAAAAATACTTTTATGCAAAAAGCATTGTGTATTCTATTTCATGCTTGGATGATAATGAGTGGTAGATTGCTTTTGTATGTGTGGTTTTGTGGTGTGTGTATTAGAGATTAGAAATCATTTTGTCTGAAAATGCCTTTATGTAAAAGGAATTGTTATTCAATTTCATGCTTGGATGATAATGAGTGATAAATTGCATTCCCTGTGTGGTTGTAATGGTATTTGTATGAAGTGGCTATGGATCTGCCAAATATGCCACCTTTAGACAAATACTAAGACACACTAACTGAGAAATTGGCAGTCTTAGAGAGGCAGATAAAGGTTACTCTGTACGAGTAGCTCAGCTACTGACTAAATTTATGCTCTGCAAATTTTTTGTGTTTGAGATGCAAGTCTTTCGTTATTGTTTGTTTAAGGCTATTGATGACACTCAAGCCATTTGTTGAATCTGGTCTTATGTATATTTCAATGCCAGTGATTCAGTATGCCTTTTGTTAGAGTTGTGTTCGTGTGCACTTAATTACCATATGCACTTAACTATTGCTTAATTACCTTAGTTTTGTGATGTTTACTGTTCTACATGCCCTATAGGTTTCTTTGTCACGATTTGGATTACTGCTGTCATGTTCAAGTCAAATGAAATCTTACGAAAGCAAACAGCTTTGAAGGTGCAGTAAACTTCTAGTTCTGGATCTTTTTCATGGGTCTTTTCCCATAAAGAAAATGTTATATGAAATATTAAGTATTCTTTCTGTTTGTTGCTGCAGGGAGAGCGGAAGATCTCTGTTCTTATTTGCATCTGTCTTGGTTTCACAATTCATGTGGTTGCTGTCTATTGGTGGTATCGTCGTGATGATCTTTTATACCCATTGGTCATGCTTCCTCCAAAATCCATTCCACCTTTCTGGCATGCTCTTTTCATCATCATGGTTAATGGTTTGTTCTTGTTCATTGATTTTTTTTTTAATCAACTAAATTATACATTTTGTGGCAGTGTGGTACAATTTACAGATATTGTACTGTACAGTAATAATCATCCTTTTCACTTTACCGTTACATAGCCAACCTATGTTGGAGACATCACAAAATACCTATGTTCATTGCCTTTTGGTACCAAATAACTGGTTTCTTTAGTCTTGGAGTGTATATATATGATCTAAATATATTGAAAAGCTTGCATAAAATAAATAATGCTTAATCTTTTGATATGCATAAAATAAATAGTACTTAGTTGTTTGACACTCATACCTAAGCTTGAGCAACATAGATACTTACACTTTAGCACATCCATCTAGGAAACAGAGCATTTAAAATTAATGGAACTTGTGCAATGCTTTTCCTTTTCTTTTGGGAACAGGAAAAATGTATTTGTCCAAAAATAGGAATCTATTTTTGCTAACCTATATATCTCTGGCAATTAGTGTGACTTTCTTTTCTTTTTGGTGTACCTAGCACTTTTAAATTGGTCCTTACTTCATCTCCCACCTATTTAGCTCAGTGTCCTTCCACAGAGGCAATATTTTCCCTTTCTTGCACTGGATGTATTTGCACGTTACTTACTATATTCCCTTGATAATGGATTCTTTCAGATACTTTGGTTCGGCAAGCGTCAATGATCTTAAAGTGTCTTCTGTTAATGTATTACAAGAACAGTAGAGGGAGAAATTATCGTAAGCAGGTAATGATAAATGATTCAAATTAATGTACTTTGGCCTTCATATACTGACTAATAGTCTAATAGTATTTTTTTTTGGTTTCCAGGGTCAAATGCTGACTTTGGTTGAGTATCTGATGCTGCTTTACCGTGCATTGTTGCCAACTCCAGTGTGGTATCGTTTCTTTTTAAACAAAGACTATGGAAGCCTCTTTTCATCTCTAATGACAGGATTGTATTTGACTTTCAAGCTCACATCTGTTGTTGAAAAGGTATTATTTTCTGTGAAAATAAAATCCTCAAG